TGGTGTGTGATGGGAGAGATTCTTAATCTTATAGTGAAAGCCTAGGCATCGTAAGCCACATGAAACATCTATGCCAACGAGCTGCAATATTATTGTGGTCGTTAGGTCAGGTTTACAATTATCCTGCATGCACACTCTTACTCTACGCCTGTGAAACCTGGTTACTTCAACCTGAGAATATGCGGCGATTCTGCGTCTCCTATCGTTACCGTCTGTCTTCATAGACTGATTTGCATCCAGTGGGGTGACTGTAATTCCGAGGAAATCCAGGGGCACACTGGGGTATATTATGACTTACAGGCACATCGTTTCGTTGCAATAATAGAGAAGATTTGTAGCTCAGGTGGATGATTTGCAATTAATAGTGTTCTCTGAGCTGGTTGGTTTAGTTGCGGAGCTTTCGTTGTCCTTCTGGACAACATCTTCAGCGCAATATTTAGCATAAAGTGAAATGATTTAAATTTCTTCATGAGTGGTATAATTGCGTCTCCTGGTAACCATCTTTACATATGTATTGACCATTTTCTATTGACTTAGATTTTAAACTTTCTGGTCACCTGATTTACTTTTTATTAGTTGGTATATTTCGTCTATATTAACGTGTTTGTAAATTGCATTTTCGTTTGAGTACAAGGCTTCTAGGAATTCCCTGGCACTTTTGGTGTTTCCTCTGTCTAAGATTTTGACATTATCCCAATCAAACTGATGACCATAATTGTCTATATGCATTGATACTAAAGAATACATATCGTGTCTTTTCACGGCTGATTTGTGTTCTTGGATTCTAATTCGAACGGGACGCCCACTTTGGCCGATGTAATGCTTGTTATAGTTCATACAATTTATTTTGTAAATGGTATTAATTTTATCCCCTTTTTCTGTTGGATCTTTCGGTTTGCATAATATTGAATTAAGCGATTTGACTGGCTTGTGTGCTATATCTATGACAAAACAAAGGCAGAAGTAGGCTGTTCAATTGAAAATGTATTTCTCTACCGTATACAAAACTGCACAACAGCAAAACATTCACATGTGTATATCACAGCGTTCAACTGAATTTCAGTAACCTGATGCCAAAAAATTCTCCTTTTCATAATAATCTGGAAGGAAAAGGAAACAATATTTAATAAAGCTACTCTAGAGGCATTTGTGACGAATTAAACAACATCTTATATGATTTTTTCCAATGAATTCTTTTCAGTTACTAACAATTACAAAGTATAATAATCATTGTTGCAATAATGGCTATTAAGTTATGCGGCGGATACATTCACTCTCACGCAGAATAACAGACTAGTTAGTTATGGGGCGATAAAATAAATAGTAGGCGTGAGAAAAATGTACTGGACTGAATGCAGTTAGAAAAATTTTGTGAAATGAGAGACAATGATGATGGTGATTATTCATAACAGATTCATACAGTGTGGGAAAGGAAAATTGACAAGTCCGTTCAAGTTTGTAAAGTGTGTCGGTTGAGTGGCTAGTACAAAACAGTATGCATTGAAGAGGAGATAATAAGACTGCGGTTAGGAATTCATCATGAAATAATCAATATGTGAAATGAAACTGATGCTGTCATATACTGAAAAGGGAAATAATATCACTAAGAATTAATTGGAGTGGTATAAATGGAGAATTCGATAGCACTAAAAGAATGACAGAATGGGGGATATTAATTATAAGACATTTTAGAAAAAAATTGTTAAAACAAAGAGAATGGGATATAAGAAATAAACAAAAGAACAAAAAGAGAGATGAGGAAAAGACGTTATCAGGGGAGAGTGGGAACAACTTTAAATCCAAGTTTGACTGTGGTACAGAGGCATTCCCAATAAAAGATGATCTGTGTTACTGTAAGACCGTATTCAGTGACAGTTCAAAGGGTAAGTGGACACGTGTTCAAAGTCACAGGCATGTCGAACTGCAGCGTTCACATTGGGATTCGACAAGTAACTTCCCCGTCCATTGTTGTGCCGCAGTTACGGCAAACAATATTCGGGGCTGATTATCTTCGAAAGGTTAGTGCAGTAATTAAGATGAAGGAAAGGGTTGCGACTACAAGGCACATATCTATTGTCATGTATGAGAGCAGCAAGATAGTAAGGGCGGAGGCGTCGAAAATACGAAATATGACAACACTGGTTAGAGAATACGATTATCTGTTCAGTGAAGACCCTAGCAGTTATTGTGATAGGATGGGGCACGAAGTCCCAATGACTAGTCGAAAAATGAAGAAGATTTAAAATTAGAAGAGTCCGGGTCATTTAAAAGAAGTTGAATGATAAGTGAAGGAGATGCTAAAGGATACTATTATTGAAAATGTTGACTGCCCACATAGACCTCCAGTCCCTATCGTGAAGAAAGCAAATAGGAAATTGAACAGGATAACAAAACCTTCTGTTGAAGAAACTTTGCATCGTCTACACAGTTTAAGTCTGTTTACAGTGCTAGACCTCCTATCAGAACTCTGACAAGTACTTTTAAAACAAAGCGACAGGAGTAAGACAGCATTAATCGTGAGATAGAAACAATATCGGCATGCTATTTGCATTGACATGCGCCCCTTTTACATTCAGATGCTCACTGACGTTACACAAAAACTTGAAGAACGTGGAGGTGTACGGCGATAGTTTCGTTACAAACAGTCAAACTAGAAGTGATCATGCGAAGCTGTTTTAAGACACATTGTAGAGTTTGAGCTACGTATTACCAAGATGGAATCCCAGACTGTCAAAAGGAATGTTACGGAAATGGTGAAATAATATCGCTGAGAAAATCTTGACGATAAAGAAGCACTGAGTCCTAAAAACTAAACAGGAAACTACGGCAGTTCTTGGATAGAACAGTGTTTTGTAGTTGGTTTGCAAAAGGCTCCAACAAGATAGCAACTGGGCTATATAGACTATCGGGTGAGCCGATGTTTGTTTGGCCAGAAGATTTACGGGAGATACTTCATCCGCATTTGACAACCAGAATATGACGCTAAAACTACTTGTACCAGGAAAACATTTCGCGGTGTGCAAAGATGCAAGTGGCGACGAAATAGGCGCAGTACCAAGACAGAGTGAAGTTGTCGAATATGCCAGACGTGTTCTAAAACACACGGAGCAGAAGTATTCAATGGCTGGATAGGAGTGTTTAGCAATAGTGTGGGCGCTAGGCAAATGGAGGCGTTATCTACTCGGTCAACAGGTCCATATCGAATCTGTTCATAAGCCGCTACAGTGGCCGAAGACAACGAGAGACCCACATGGGAAATTGTCGGCGTACGACTTTCCGATCTCGCACATTTTACAGAAAGAGAATCCTTTTGCAGTCGAGTTGTAGGAAGTTGCATACGGAGCATTACATCCATTAAGACTTGTCCGCAGTTAAATATCGGACTCTATCTTGAATGCAGTGATCACTAACGGAGAATTAGCCTACGAAGAAGGGATAGGTAAACCTACTAATCAGGCAAAAGGCTCGACTAGGACCGAACACTTACGGAACGACGGAATCTGGTTGACAGTATCACCTCAGTCTCTACACCACGAAATGATACAAGAATGCCACCAGGTAGCATATATAGGGGTAGTCAGGACAACCAAATTCTTGAAACAAAGCATAAACTGGCCTGGTATGAGAGATGTTGAAAAACGTGCTGAGATATCCGTAGTGCAGTTGATGAGAGGGGATAGGTGCAGAGGATCGTCTATGCAGTCGATTCCAGTTACGGCGGTAGGTGGTCCGTAGAGGTAATGGGACGTTTCCTGCAGACGGTAGCCTGTATACGTTCGTAGGTCATTTGATCGGCTGATGTCTACTGACTTTATTTATTGAAAAAAAAACTCAAAATTAGGTAACTTTTCGTTGTTTTACACACTTTTACACTTGTATTCCTGCTAAAAGTTGATGGAATAAGGCGTTTTTAGCATAAACAGCAAATGATGGTGTCCTTATCCGGCCTTAAAGGGAGGTAATTAGTAGACAGAGCTCCCATTGATTCTACTAGCACATCGTTCTCCCATCCATGAAACAACAAAGAAGTCACTGTTCTAGTTGATGTATGATGGGAAACCACGACAACAATGCACTATAAGACCTGGCTCTCTCACCAAGAGTGAAGTGTGTTGAGAGTGGCAAACACCAAGAAGGTCGAAGAAGCTCCGCTCGAAACTAGTTGATGGGAGTACAAATGTGCTGTGTGATACTGACGAGTTTTATATTTAGTACATGGACACAGATATAGTTATGTATATCATCTACAAGAACATCAAATAACAGAGGGATGAATTTAACGGCATAGGGAAGAAATGAACGATTCATGTGAGACGACGTAGAAAAAAACATGTGGAAGGAAAACAAAGAAGCAAAATGCGGAAGATATATGAAAATTGTGATCTTGTTACATGTCGATCGTCGTGTGTCTATAACTGCATATCGATTTGTCCATCAAAATAATTCCGCTGCCCAATCCCCTTGTGTTCTCCCGTCATGACATTATATATTTTCTCAATATGTTTTTTAAAAAACAAAACAATTCCAATAGTGAAAGAAAGACCAGATTCGCAGTATAAAATGATATCTTTCTATTTCACAGGTTCTCATCATCTGCAAACTACCTGAAATTACAATGGTTATAAATAATAACATTTCATACTTCATTGTTTGAAAGGTAACACAGAAAGCATTATAAGATAAACGCATCCGGAATATAAGGATTAAAATTTTGTAGTTTAAGTTACCATCAATTTATATACTATCAAACTATGAAAAAAGGAAGAAAAAGCGGGGTTGAGAGAAGACAGAAGAATCTAATAAACAGTGTCAACATGGCAACTCAACAAGGTCAAAGTTCATCAATTTGAAATGATTACTCATAGACACTAGTGAGTTCAACTCACTAAGCAAGTTTTCAAATTGATGAACTTTGACCTTGTTGAGTTGCCATATTGACACTGTTTATTAGATTTTTCTGTTTTCTGTCTTCTCTCAACCCCCCCTTTTTCTTCCTTTTTTCATAGTTTGATAGTATATAAATTGATGGTAACTTAAACTACAAAATTTTAATCCTTATATTCCGGATGCGTTTATCTTATAATGCTTTCTGTGTTACCTTTCAAACAATGAAGTATGAAATGTTATTATTTATAACCATTGTAATTTCAGGTAGTTTGCAGATGATGAGAACCTGTGAAATAGAAAGATATCATTTTATACTGCAAATCTGGTCTTTCTTTCTCTATCGAAATTTATCAAGGGAACCAAATGTATGAAATTGCAATAGTGGTGTGAACACGGATAGTAATTTTGCTCGAAATATTACGGATAACAAAACTTATCATTGTTTGTAAACCCTTGAAATATAATTATACTTTATTTGATCTATTCCACAATGCTCGAACATTTTACTGACATTAATTCAACTAAAGAGAATTCATTGGGAAAAATATACTTTATACAGCCTGACTTTCAATATCTTATATATACACACATACCAAGGAATTCATTCACATAATCGGTGTCCTTTCCTGCTTTCAATCCATCGTTGATATCAGGATGTACAACTAGAGGATAAAGCGCATTCAAAAAGGATGTTTTATATGGTGGAGCGGCCACTTTTAAGACCTAAAATATAGTGGAAAATAAGCAATTTTTAGGAACTAAGAATTACCAAAAATTCAAAACATTATTAGCGCAATTCGACTTTGAGCAATGTCAAAAATTAAGTTCTTCAGTACCGCTGATTATTTAGGTGAGTGGAATAAACCCCCTATACACGCCATTTACACGTAGCAATAAAACAGCTAGTGAGTAACTGTACACACTGCCGATATAGTTTAACTTTCAAATCCCAAATAATATATCGTCCAGGCTTCTTATATATGAAAGTAAGACATGAACACTACCTGCAGAGAGGAATCAACCAACGAAAACACGTACTGAAGTAACCATTTAAGTTTCAGCGATGAAAAACACAAACATAGTATACATATATAACCTTTAGAAGACTCAAACCGACTTTGTAATTTGAGTACGAAGTTTAACAAACCTAGTGGTGCGTATAGTTGTGACTAATAAAAACTGAGTAAAACTTCATAAAGTAGACTTTTCTAAGCATTGCTCAGTGTATTCAGTCACACTGATGGAATCCACAAAAAGAAGAAGACACCATGAAACTCATCGATGCTTTTTGTAACCTCTGCTTCCCACTAGCTCACTTCATTTCATTAAAAACCTTTTAGGTTACTGCCAAAGGTAAACGGCTCTCACTACATTCATCCTAGCATGTGATTTCAATGTTCAATTAAGGAATCGGAACCAATTAGAAAAGCGTGTTCGGGGTTACTACAGAGTACCACACCGAAAAAAATGAAAGTGATCTTTCACACTTCTTTCCAGATAATTCGCTTGACATATTTGAATGACGTGATAAGAACACCCTTTATACCTTTTGAGATAACAACTCGTTTCCCACGGGAACAAGGAGAGTACCTTTCACCTGTAAGACGCAAAAATGAACTAACCTGAGTATGAAAGCAACGGACAACATGAGGGAGCCTGGCATTCTACTCAGTTTCCTCTAGAAACAATAGTTGATAAGCGTACATACAACTGGATTTCTGCTATTTTTTTCGAAACTAGTCGATTCATGAGGTACAACAAAGGCAGGTTCAAAAGCTGTTTAAACGTAGTCTGATTAAAGTCTTAGGAACGACTGCCAACAGAGGTAAGAAAACGAAGCGAAAAAACAAAGGTGATACTCGTCAATTAATTAGGTACATTAGGGGAACGAGTTTTATAAAAGCTACTGTAGGGAAATTTTTACGAAAAGACTATTTGAGACTTAATCGACCAAATCTCCATCAGTTAATGGAGCCACAACTATGCTCTGGAACAAATAAAATCAGTGATCCTTACACAATAACTAGCCAAACGATCGACGTTCAAAGCGATTTGATTTTCACAAGTTGCATGTCATTTTGATAAAAAGTGAAAGAAACAGAAGACAACGTTTCTTCTTCAAAGCAAGAAGAACAACATTTGTAGCATAAAAATGTGCGCATTTTATCTTCAGGTTTCTTATCATTTACAGACCACCTAAAATATACATGGGACTAATGAGGTAATAACACTTTTTAAACAACTGATCTCAATTCGAAATGCTTCCTCGCATAGTATTACGCGGTCTTCTTCCTGTGCGTTACAAGGAAATGAGTTTTTTGTTACAAGGCATGTACCAGAATTTTGTGGATTTTCTTCCAGACATATAGTAGGTTATTAATTTGCTTTTATGTCGGTTGTGATGATTATTCCACTATATGTCACTTAGTCTTCATACCTAACTTCTGATTAGTCCTTTGAAAAAAATGTTATTACCTCACTAATAATCCTATATAAATTAGGTTGTCTGCAGCTAAAAGGGATTCTCGAGATAAAGTGCACACATTCTATATTGCAAATCTGGTGCTTTTGCTTGACCAAGAAGGCAAAAAAGGTTGTGAAATACACTTTTTCCTGATCCTCTAAGGAATACATTTTCAGATGACATACCTATACATAGCTCTTCAAATTCACCCCTGACAAATGAACAAAGGACAATATTCTCTATGAGTTTCAAATTTTGTGCTCCCACGGAGAAAGTGAATTGAGTTGAGTGCCAATTGTGAAGAATCTTTACGGTTCCTCATACTACATCATATGACAGTGAAAGCTGGTTGATAGTGCCTATCACTTTGGCATTACACCTCGCTACCAAGTCTTATTGACTTAGTAAAGAACCCTGGTGACTTTTACATAGGCTCACAGAAAACATTATTACTTGACACTGATACGGAAAATTACATAAGAAAGGTACGAAAATACTTTCTCTTGACTTGAAATTCAAAAAACTTATATCAACGCTAAATATCAAATACTATCCCTTGGATAAAGAATTTTACAATATCTACAACCACTTAAAAAGTTCAGAAATTTTAAACTAATCGGGTCACAAATTACAAGACTATACGGCCATGGTGCGCCGGTGATTTAGCGGTAGACCGCTCGCTAACCACGTATGTGGTCCGGAGTTCAATCCCCGGCCGACGCAATCTTAAACCTCGCCAAGACGGTAGTAGGGTCGGTAAAGAAGGAAAGTTGGGTGTGAATCATGAAGCCACTACGGGAATGCTTTCGAATATATATTGTCTCTGATTCATTCCAATGTGGCAAGAACGTCAACGACTATGACGTAACTTATAAACACCTTGTCTCTTCTGATGTTTACAAACGTGACAGTCATTCAGATTGTCCACTTTGCGGGTAGACAAGATATATATATATATATATATATATATATATATATATATATATATATATATGGAATATTTCAACAGACCCAGACAACACGTCGTGGTAGCAGTGTATAACGTTTCATGTTGTTATACGTCGCATCGCTTCATTAAGAAAAGGTAGTGATTAAAACTATTAGAATGACTAAGCGCCATTAGGCCTGATCAATAGCATTTTATCATACTTTCCTTTTCTAATGTTCACATTCCACAGTCAAATACACAGCCAGAGTGTTTTCACGAGAGACCCCTTTGACCTGTAATATATTTTTATATATTTCTCTGATATCAAGAGTGTCGGAACTTACCAACAGTGCTTAATTCATTGATTTATCGAATGTCACTTGCTCTGTGATTAGCTACTAAGTGCTAAGCAGTTAAATAATAATCCATTTTCTCTTGACATTTATGCTATATAGATGAACATTTACAAAATATCATAATGAAACAAAATGGTATGCATTAGCTTTAAAAATAACACATACTTCTGTAACGAAATGCCGGACAATCGACACGTCCACACGATTTCGTACAAACAGTCTACGCATTGTATTTATCACAGGAAGTACATGTCCACACGATAACAGGTGTACAAGTAAACCGACCAGCATTCGTTTGTACTCCAACTACAATTTTCAAATAGATAAAGAATTAAACGAGTTTCTAAGAACATAGTGGGATAACTTATCATATCACAACGTCGAAATGATACCAATTATGCTGTTAAGTAATTTTAATTATGGTTGGCAAAAGGAGAACGCAAGGGTGGTAACAGAACATCTGGTGAATTCAGGACGTTCAGTTCCTTTTGAAAAGTTCCTCAAAAAGTCATATATAAGATCTGATCAAAAATATCAAGGGGATTGCGACCAAGGCATCTAGGAGAAGCTGAGGCACTGGCGATCCTATATATATATATATATATATATATATATATATATATATGTTCCCGACCTTCCTATTTTGTTATTATTACGTCCTTAATCCGTAATTGTACAAACAGTCAAGTGTTTCAGTAATTATGATCTTATTATGCCTTTTCAACCCGATCTTCCTGATTATTACACTTTCTAATTTTATTAATTTGACCTCTAACCTGCAATAATCCTGAAACTTTCTAAACCAATTTACTGTGCATACACGAATGTACAGCCTAGTTGATGACTTCGTCAAAAAGAACATTTTCTTCGCTCCAACCATCTTTTGAATAACTTTTATTTTGCAAACTATACAACTGAACAGATACAATAAGTGATAGTGAAACGATATTTGTGAAAAACTAAAATTTAACGACTGTGACGAACTCACAGGAATTCAATATACGTAAAAGGAGACAACCAGTGCATGTCAAGGGATACCAATACAATGTTAATAAGAATAGCAAACACATTCAAATACATATTTTAATTGAAATAACTAATTTACAGAGATAAATGGATTCATAATAGTTTAATAATACCTGTTAAAAAGGTAGATTAATTATTAATTAATTGTTAATTAACCACTACCGAGAGGAAATATCCATGCACATTAATCTAGTAAAACAAGTGAATACAGGATTTTTTCTTTTTTCCCAAACCCCAACATCAAATTAATTATTATTAAAACATAAACTTGGTACATTATGAGCAACAAGAGATACGCTACACAAAATCTCATAGTTTGTGTGAGGGCTGGGCTGTCCGGACACTCAGAATGAAACATGTGGTTGTCTGAAAGGGCCACCGCCCTCCGAGCCTCTGACTTGATATCGGAACCACAAGGCAGTAGAGAAGTGTCAATAGCTGCGTTCCCACGGTTACTAGTGACCAAAACAAGATCACACACTATTCGGTTCTAGAGCCCATGTATACCATAGGTTTGGAATCAAGGTTTTCCAGCTCCCCAAGGTAGACCGGCATGTTCACTAGTTTGGCTGTAAGCGCCAGACGTTTGTTTTAGCCCTTTCACTTTTGTGAGTAACACCGCCGCCACGTGAAGGCAGTGAGTAGGACTTACCAGGGAGAGGCTAACAATGATAGCCATGATAAACACAGAATTAATAGCAGCGTTTAAAACCGGAGTCTAGTCAAAAAAGAACAAACTGCTAATAATGAGACAGAAAAAACAACATAAGACTTGATAAGTACCTTATCTATGTGAATACATTACAACATATTAACGGTACATAAATAGACCTAAACAAGAATAAACAGAACTAGACTACTGAAAGTGAAGTGGAAACCCCGCCTCCATGTAATAACCAGACGAGTCCAGATATAAAAACAATACGGAAGGGACACATAGCTGTTCGTTTAGCATAAATACATTAGGCATCCTGCTAGGCTTTCTTCTGTTCATTCCAATCATACGGAATTGTTGGTGAGACAAACAAAGAAAGTTAATGATAAGCTGACTGGCATTTAGATATGATGGAGAAGATTTGTAGCTCAGGTGGATGATTTTGATGTGATTGTGTTCTCTGAGCTGGATAGTTAATTTGCGAAGCTTTCATCGGCCTACTAGGCAACACCTGCAGCGCATACTTCAATTTGAAGTGACCTTTTAGATTCCTCCATGAGTTTATTAGTCATCTCTCCTGGTGACCTTGAACGTGATTGGTTGTTTTGTGTCTTCACACCCTCTAGGCTACTTGTATTGGAACTGATTGTTTCCTTGACTTGAACTTTGACCTTTTGCGTGCGAGGTTTCTTTCTTATCGGTTGATAAATTTTGTCAATCTCGATGTGTCTATTGATTGATGATTCACTGGAATGCCAAGCTTCTAAAAATTCTCTAGCATTTTTGTTGTTTCCTCTGTCTAATATTTGAACATTGTCCCAATCGAATTGATGTCCGTGGTTGTCTGTATGTAGTGATATGAGGGAGTGGATGTCATGTCTTTTGACGGCTAGCTTATGTTCGTGGATACGAAGACGAAGGGGACGTCCACTTTGGCCAATGTAGTGTTTTTCGCAGTTATTACAATTTATTTTGTAGATGATGTTGGTTTTATCTTCTTTCGTTGTTGAGTCTTTTGGTTGACATAGAGCTAGTTAAGTGAAGTGATTTTGTTGGTTTGTGTGCGACGTCAATTCTTAAAGGTTTGAAGAGTCTTGCAGTGATTAGCATTTAGGTCGCATAACTCAGATGGCAGAACACTGGGCTAGTTGAAAACAAAGCACGTAGTTCAGCGAAGAGTCTCTTTTCGGCGAATTCATTTTCTTAGCTGTATAACCGCAAATATATATGGGTTATTTTGTATGTATGTGTACAATAAGTTTATCAAACAAAAATACAATTGGTTATAGTTATTTTAACTAAACAGGTGAAGATTGGCAATTGGAGTTACGTAATACAAAATCAGTCAAGAAAATTAGGTGTTAGTGAAATTAGGGTAGTAACAAAGGTGATGAGGTGTCACAAACAGTTGTTAAAAGGAAGTTATGTAATAATACGAATAGTTTGATGAGTGAGTTTTACTCAGGATACACACAGGAACAAAGTAGAGAATACGAAATTACGTAAGAGTTCTAAATGAATACAAGAATTATAAGCAATTAAAGAACAGGCAAACAAACAAAATTAAGTCATGAAAGTCAACAAAGTTGTTACCATGACAGCTCCGGTTTTTCCATGTGAATGACCAGAGCTTCAGCGACACAAAAAAGACGAAACCGTATTGCCTTTGGTAGGTTATTCTTGACTCTGTGGATTACTTTGAAGGAGGCGTTTGTTGAGATGGAATGATAAGTGTTAACCAGGTGTTCAACTATCGCACTGCTTATTGCACCACTATTGCCTTTTCGCAACCATGCTGGATAGTGTTCTTGAATCCTCTTGGGCAGGATGCGCGTCAAACGACCGATGTTCCTGGCTCCACAGCAGCAGGTGAACTGATATATGCACACAGAAGTGGTGAAATGCGGGATCTTGTCCTTGAGGCTTCTGCAGATCAGTGGGCGACTGTAGAACACTACTCTTAGCATTGCTGCAAGGAATGTTCTTCTCAGAGATGATGTGATCCTTCTCTTGAGAATATCGCTTGTTAAATCTCCCTTGAAATCCAAGTTCATGTAGAGTTTCTTTTTAGGCGCAAGTGAAGTTTCATTTCTCCAAATTCTTGGTTTGATATTTTTGTCAATGAATCTTGGTGGGCATCCATTTTGGATGAAGATTTCTCTCAGAATATCTAATTGTGTTTCTAGAACGTCGGAACTACACATGTGTCGGATGCGCGTGGCAAGTGATTTAATTAAATTCCGCTTTTGTTGAATGGGTACTCAGCTATAGAAGCTTGTTAGTTGACCATTCCAAGTAGCTTTTCTATGGATCGATCTTCTTAGGCTCCCATCAGTTCAAGAAACGGAATTTTTGATTCGTTTTACATTTCAAGAGTGAATTTTATTGCTGAATGGCAACAGTTAAATGTCTTCAGCAGTAGATAGCATATATATATATATTTGCTATTGTACAGCTAAGAAAATGAATTCGCCGAAAAGAGACTCTTCGCTGAACTGCGTGTTTTGTTTTCATTAATGACTGGGCTAGTTATCCGAAGACCATTGGAACGAATCCTATCACGAGTCATGTTTTTACATAAACTTCAATTACTACCCACATTATATCAATAGCGATTGATCAATACATGAATGACCCAGATAGTCTTATAAACATAAAAAAGATCATTCAGGTGTTGGATCTGGGTATGATTGCAAAGAAATATATCCTTACTACTGTTTCATACTCTCAGTCTTTTTAACTGACACCGTATTATCTTATAAACACTAAAGCTGTTATATCTAACATATCGGTGCAATGATTGTTTTAGAATAGTTCGACTGGTATACCATCATCAAGCGCATTGGACGTCTCAATGATAGATGGCTCACATCAGTAGTTGGACAAGACATAATTGTGCTAACCACACCTCTTTCTTCCATTATGGGTAAATTTTGTTTTGATAAAGTCTTACAGTGTTATACAGTAATGTTTACTGATGACGTTTCGAGCACAATTTATTGCTCATAATCATATCAAGTAATCACACAACTTCCTAAATTCATTTATATAGTTCCATTGTTTTTCAGTTGATTTGATTGGTAGTAAAATTTTCCATATTTCGGGTATGAGTGATGATTCATTCCTATTGCATGTGTTGGGTGTAGATTCGATGAACAAGGATTCAGTAATCAACCTCTCGCTCCATCTACCTAGATTACTTTTTAGAATTTTAACCCTCTCCCACTCTATTGTGTGGTTGTGTGCTAATGCATGCATTGCAATTGCTGAGCTTTTTTCTAAATTACTTATCTTCTCTGGGTCAACCATTCTTACCTTAGCTAAATTCTTATGTTCTGACAATCTGACTACCCCTGACCTACTAGTTTGACCTATGTAGTTGACCTCACAGTCATTGCAGGGTATTTTGTAAATTATATTATTTTGTCTAATTGGGTCCTTTAACCTATAGAGCTTGTCCTACCTGAGTAAGTTTGTAGGTTTAAATGCCACTCTAATTCCTGCTTTATTAGGAATCCTACTACGTAGGGTCTCAGATGTCCCCTCCCTTCTTATGGGGTGTAACTGTAGATGACTTATATTCTCTCTTATTTATGTTATTATTACTAGTTTCACAATTCTTTTTATTTTTCTTTTGGCGTTTTTCAATCTTCCTAATGAATTTTAAAGGATAGTTATTTGATACCAACGCCTCTTTTATCTGTTTTATCTCATCATTTAGGTTTTTTGTGCTACTCAGTGCCATTGCTCGGTTTGTTAAACACTTAACTAAGCCTGCCTTAACAGTTAAAGGATGAGATGAATTAAAGTCTAAATATCTATTAGAATGGTGGAGATATGTGGATGACACTTTCACAGTGTTAAAAACAGAACATATCTCTAGCTTCTTGACACACATAAACTAACTAGTGGAGGGAATAAAATTCACATTTGAAGCAGAAAATGAACAAGGAGAATTAGCTATGTCAGACTGTAAAATAAAACGAATAGAAGAAGACAAACTACACACTAGTGTTTATAGAAAACCAACCCAAAATATGGAAAATATTACTACCAATCAAATCAACTGAAAAACAATGGAACTATATAAATGAATTTAGGAAGTTGTGTGATTACTTGATATGATTATGAGCAATAAATTGTGCTCGAAACGTCATCAGTAAACATTACTGTATAACACTGTAAGACTTTATCAAAACAAAATTTACCCATAATGGAATTACACTCTGCCACAGTGCACAAGCTTTATTCTTATATCAATCACACCTCTTTCTGATTAATCTAATGCAAATATAGTAAAACTGCTAAAATTTCAAATGTAACCAACTTTATTTCGTTTACAATCCAAACACCATAATTAAAACGTCTCAAATTACCTGACTTAAATCCTCCATTCCTTCAACCGAAGAAGCTAGTAATTCTGTAATAAACGCTAGAAGAGCAGGACGTAAATATACATTCACCTCAGCCAGTTCATTCACCACTATACAGTAAGGTTTCATAGTGTCCAAGTTTAACTCAAAGTCAACACGCTTTGTGTGAAAAACTACTCGAACAAAGCGAAATACACCAAATGAAACAGGTCGACATGATAGAGTTTTCAAAAGAGTTGGAAGATCTCGAAATGCACGTAAACTAATTCCACTTCCAGACATATTATTCCACTAAAAAAACCCACAAAAAGTACAAATAAACCACTTAGTGTATTAGCAAAAACTTTAAAAGTCATTTGGCATAAAACAAAAATTATTTGTGATTTAAACAAACTTCTCTATTCATCGGTTGTATATAGAGTGACCTGATCCTACATCAGACACTTTGCCATAGTATATCTGGTCCTGCAAAATGGTTGATATTTGCGTCATGAAAAAACGCTTTGATAAGGTGTTTAAGCGTTCGTTCATCTTTCCACAATACAGTCTACAGAAATCAACACATAAGTGTAGCTAAGTACCAGTTGCCTTACCACACTGATGGATTAAAGCAATAATTGCCAAACAAGACAAGTGGAATAAAAGCACAAACAATACTGTACGTGTCGTTAATAGAGAAGTCAAGCCTACCGAATAAGATTTAACACCGGTAACTAATTGTAATCTGTATTATTCAAAATTGAGCATACCGCTGATGATCAGATGGTAGCAAATGGGTATTTAAGTCTATACGGTGCCGGTTTATTATTATTTTTCTTATTCCTCCGGGTTCCGAGTGGAAGACAGGGCTTCGACAACACATCTTCACTTTGTTCTATTTTCTGCTGTTCTCTTAAGCTGGGCCCAAGATTGCCCATAATCTCTCATCTCCTCCTCACATGATCACCTCTATGTCACCCTCGGACAACCCACTCGTCGTTTCCCATTCAGGTCCCACTCGAGCAATAGCCTGGCGCACGATGTCATTCAACAGTCTCCCGAGTGTGCCCTAGTCATCTCTATTTTGTCTGACATGTTTGTTGGACGATAGGTTCTTGGTTAGTTTGTTCCCATAGTTTCTTGTTGGTAAATCTTTCTGATGCCAATTTACATACTCAATATTAACACACATAAGATAACGGTTTATTATCATAACACTGTTAACCATAGAGAATCGAAAGCACGATAAGTACTTGTGAATTTATTCTATTTGAATCTCCTACTGTAACAGGAGAATACAAGAGTAATTGGCAACGAAATATTTCTGTTGGTAACTTATTGTACAGATGTAGGCAAAAGACAGCCGTCATAGAATAAAATTACAATTTGAACATGTCTTCTGTATTGTGTTTGACTTCCTTTCACATGTTTTTTTATATTGTCTCACAAGAATGGTTCGTTTCTTCCCTTTGCTATTAAACCCATCCCTCTATTATTGAATAATCTTGTAGATGATATACACACCTATGTGTGTCCATGTACTAATTATAAATCTTGTCAGCACTGCCCCCTTTGCGATTCTGTTTTACTCGACAATTGGGGGATCAGCCACTCTCAAAAGGTTTCTTCACGGACCCAACTCAGATAATAAAAGCCGCCACATACTGAAGAGCTCTGGAAATCTGTACCGTCTCAACTTCTACATCTTTATCACTGGACCAGTCGAGAACTTTCAAAAGATTCGGAATACGAAAATAATTATTGCTGATTCATACCTGTCGACAGATACGACTAGCTTCTAAAACCTCGTGTTTCGCTCGATCAACTTCAGTACGAATGCATGAGATACGACGATCAGTGATTGGATCAGTTTCTTCAACAACCATTGCAGCATAACTGTACAGGTAGGCGTATTGTTCTAACTGTTCATTTAATAGTCGATCTGCACTTGCAAACAGTGCATCAGCGAGAAGTGCTAACAAATATAAAGGTGAACAATAAACAAAAATGGATTACGAATGACCAGTTGTGTTTTAACATTGTTCATTATTAGGTCTTCAAGTTAGGATGAAAACAAACAAACTGACTGACACCTGTGTGTGTGGTATATTACTAACCAAAAACTGCACTGAATAAGTCTCAAACCACTTTCTTAATACGGTTTACACAAGTGTACCCTAGAATGTATCTATAGCTAATATTTCGCCTAAACATTAAGAAATGAGCAAATGGCGTAATACAGTATTACCTGAATTCAATTAGTAAGATTTCGTTAGAATCAAACAAAACAGTGTGCATAAAAGTTTCAGAGTATCCAAATAGAGCCTGAAACTTTGAAATAACAAGCAGCTAACAATATAGTCTGTGCACAGTTTACGCTATTATCTAGAAGTTTGCCGACGATATATGCATCACTAAATACTTTAACCTTCACACTAAGGTGACATACTCTTCAATCAAGTGAACAGATGTAAAGTTAACGAAGCTGTTTAGAAGGTTTAAAGTCCATGTTTTCTGTATGTGCGAGTCCTAGAACCTTCCAGCTAATAAGTGTTGGTGGTCCAGCGGTGGAACGCTCGCCAACCACGCATATGGTTCGATCCCCGGCCGATGCATTTCTTAACCTCAATAAACAGATAAAAAAGGAAGGTTGGGAGTGAGACTAGAAACCCCACTCCGTAAAAATAAAACCACTGATACCGAAACTTCTAAGCTCAATCTTGAAACCCTATGTTCCACTGGGGAAGTAAAGGAATTTATTTATTATTATTAATAGGCCAACAAATAAATTCGCGCCTCCAATAACTTAGGTTAACGCGAACATGTTCATAAAATTAAATACATATGAAATAAGTAAAGTTAACAATTAACTGAGGCATAGTGTACAGTTATCAGCAATAATTCAAACGCAGACTTGGTATAGTATTTGTACGCGGCTCATCGGCTTAAGGATTCAACTTTCAGATGATGGATGTCGAGTCCAAATACTTCCCCACATATTTCAGTCTGAACAACTGGGCAGTAACACCAGCCTTCATATAATAAGTGTGGCTTATAGCCTGCTGTTGTAAAATATGATCCAGGTAGCCAAGGTAACCAACAACAATAAACATAGTGTTTGTCTTCGGAAATGAGCTGTATTGTGAAGTGACTACATACACTGAGTGATGGCCAGGTCTGTCTACTTAATACATTTTCACTTAACTTTACATTAGATACACATTTACAGACCTGTAGTTTCGCATCTAATTTCACAGGGATTAATATTCTCATTGGTGTTCGTTTTTTTGTCACTCAAATGTAAACAGTTACTTCGGCAATTGTTTTTATAATTTCCACACTGACCATATGCTGACTCCATCAAACCAAGGTAAGGAATAGTGCGTCGGTGGCACAGTGGTTAGGACTGTCGCCGACCATGCACATGGTCCGGGGTTCGATCTCCTGCCGGCGCACATCCGATATCTATGGTCGGCCTGAATTTGGGCTACCGATATCCATGCTGAAAATTCCACACTTGTGCTGAAAATACGGTGTGGAATCAAGCTGTAAATCAAAATAAAATAAAATGAATAGTCGTTAACTATTCATAGCCTTTGCAAAGCCATCTCTAATACCCACGCTTCGCAGCCGAATATATGACGAAAGAGTTCGTTATTGTACAACCCACTCAATACTCCCTAAAATGTCGATTCTATCACTTGTGACGGTAGTGGTACACCAGTGAAGAAGACAACAGACCGTTTCTCACATAAAATTCATGTTGAGACTTGGATGTTTTCTTATTTAAAAGGAATGAGCCACTTTGAAAGAACAATATTCTTTCCTATGAATGTTAAACAGCGCTTTACAGTTAGAGAATGAAACATCACTATGATAATGTCAATATTGTCATTGGAACATATCATATAACTAATATATTATCACCTGCAGTACGCCTGCTTTCTCGTGTAGTTGGAGATGTGTATTCATAAACAACACCTTCAGGCGACAGTCCTAAATACTATTTTCATGCGAATAAGTTCTGCCCCTTTTTCTCCCTAAACAATCTTAATATCTCCAGTTTCTTATTCATTCATTCTGTAAAGTGTTTTATAAATCTGAACTGACTCTGACATCCTGTTATGATTTACTGTGAACAGTATACTTCTTTTTATAAGGATGAAATCTCATCCATTTCACATACTGATTGTTGTTTTATGGTGAATCATTCATTTCAGTTTTACTGACCACTTACTACTGAACACACACACGTAAATGGCGCATAAAATTATTACTTTTCAATATTGTATGAATTTATTATAACTAATCAACACTAACTAGTTGCCCTAGTGGCATACAGTTGCAACATGCCTGAGTAACGTCTAATGTAAGACAAAAAATGATGATACATATGCAGTGGCATTCATAAAATACAGGGAATATCTTTCGTCAATGACTTTAAGGCTGTTCACCAATCCCAATATTCTTCTTCTTCTTCTTTCTTTCCTTCACGTTCCCAGTGGAACATAGGGCCTCAAGCTAGTGGCTTGAAGTTTCTGTAGCAGTGGTTAATTTTACAGTATGAGGTTGCTAGCCAGCCTCATGCCCAACCTTTCCTCTGTACCAGCATTATTTCTGGCTTAGCGAGGTACTCCTCCCAATATTGGAGGAGTTATATACGAGTGTATTACAGCAACCAATAAACAAAGTTTCATGCAACCGGTTAGCGTTTCATCAAATTTTGTAACTATACATACATGTATACTACAGATTGCCTCACTTTTTCATCCTTATTATTGATAAGACCATTGTTATTATTATTGTTATTATATACTTCTCAATAGAACTCCAGGAAGCTCCAACCTGTAGCAAGTCACTAGCGAGCATCAGATTTATTTTCTATAGTTTGGTTTGTAAGGATTAGTTATGTTTTACGAGTTGATCACGGACTGATATCGCGCTAAAATCACGAATTGGTAGAAGTCAGAATTCATGAGCCATTGAATCGGGTCCCAGTGGCTGAATGGTATACGAGCTTGCCTTGTAACCGGAAGGTCCTGGGTTCAAATCCCAGTGGGTGCGTACTTCCGATGATTCCCAAACTAGAATGAAACAGTAGCTGTCCAGTACTCCTTGGTTTTCAATGGTTCTCTAACTGATATCAGTCCGTGATCAACTCGTAAAACATAACTAATCCTTACAAACTAAACTATAGAAAATTAATATTGTTATTAACTACTAATTTAAAATATTCTGTGTATATATAAATATATATATAAACATATATAAATAATTGTAGAGCCTGGAAGAGGAATTTATCGAAAAGAATATTCTTTGCTCGATTATTTTGTGTTTTATAGATGCCTGAATGAATATTTTTGCAATATTATATTTGAATGTTTATTTGTAAACTTATGCATATTATAGTTAAGCCTGATGAGATTTAATTGAAAACAACACTGTTCGCTTAAATGTGTTGATCTAAATTTTACTATTGGAAGACACAATTTATGTGCTCTTCCTGCTTCATGATATGATATAATGACTTTGCATTATAATCTTACATAGAACAGATAAATGTGTTTTGTTTTATTGCATTAGAAAGACAAAGCTATAATTAGATTAGATTAGATTATCTACCAGTAGTATTTGTCCAATAATAAATGACTCATACAAAAGGTATTAATCTACTTCCTTTATCGTTATCAATAACGTGAATTAACCTATATACACTGCATCTGATGAGTCGGTGGATTTCTCAAGCCTAATATTCATAGGGAACGCCAATTTTTAATAATGTACTTACTTTATTATTATTATTTATTCCTTCGCATTTTAAGTGGGATTAGAGCTTCAAGCCTCAGCTTTAAAAATTCAGCAGAAGTGGAATTTATTTTTTACGCGGCGGGGTCGCCAGCCCCACGACTAATATTCTTTACCAGGCTTACGCGAGATCTAGCAGTGAATCAACCAGCGACCGAACCCAGGATCACATAAGTGGTTGGTGAGTATTAGACCAGTGAACCATCGACACATTACTACTACGTACTGAAGTAACAGCTCTCGATACTGATTCCGAGTTAACTTACCAATGAAAATGGGTTGACGTAAAAGTGCAACAGGCGGAGGTGCGTCTCCTTTGTATGCTTTTTCAAGCTATGAAGTATAAAAATTATGCACGTAGAGGTTTTAAATTAGTGATATAAAAAGAGCTTAGATAAATATAACTCATAATAAGGCAAAATGAATTCTTTTTGTAATGCACAAAACTACGCAATCTATTCAAAGTCAGTCAACGAATTTTTTCCAGTAACTTTTCTTCAGGTTCTTATAATTATGAAATATAATTATCATTATAATAATGGCCAGTTAATTACTCGGCGGATATATTTTTACATAGAGTAACAGATTATTTATAGGATAATAAAAAAAATAGTATGCGTATGACAAACGTGCTGAGCTGAATGCAATTACAGAATATTTTGAAATGAGAGACGATGATGGTGTTGATTAATCTTAACGGATTCATCCCCACACAGTATGAAAGAATATTCTTTATTCAGATCGCCTTTTAATTCACGATATGAAAATTATTATTATATTATTGTTTTCTTTAATTCCTAGAGGAACATATGGCTTCAGCCGTGCGTCTCTATTGCGTTCGGTTCTCTGCTAGAGTCTTCACCTGGCTCCAAGTCTGCCCACACGTTTTCATCTCCTCGTCACATGACCTCCTCCAGGTCACCCTTGCACTGACGACCAACTCGCCGCTTCCCTTTTGGGTTCCACTCGAGCGATGGTTTGTTTAGTGATGTCACTTGATGGTTTCTTCAGAGTATGGCCAGCCAATCCATCTCCATTTCTTCCTGCCTATTTGTTTCACAATCGGTTCCTGGTTGCTTCGCTCCCAGAGATCTCTGTGGGAGCGATATGAAAATATTTCACACTATTAAATCTTACGTAATCTATACCATGTTCACAACCGAAAAGACTTCTCAAAAAAGCAACTTAAAATTATCGTAGAAAACACATGATGTTACGGACTGTCAGGAGATAAACATTTCAAAGCGCATTGGTACTTGTGAGCTTACAGGGAAAAATAAAACACGCTCATAGATCTGCATATTTACCATGAAACCTTGAAAGATATGGTTCAGCTGTCACAGTCGAACCACTAATATACACTACATGCTAATTAAAATTTGAACTTATTTAAGAATGAGGAAAACGAAACATAGACTATAACGTAATTGTAAATACGCATTCTAATAGACCTAGCGTTTGAATTCATTTCGACAGCGGAGGAACACATAATCTGCAGAATGATAACGACTCAAGTGACTAAATGAAAAAATCTCTTGGATCTCGTTGAGGAAAGTGTGGTGCATAAACAAATGCTAACCAATAACAAATATCTTAAACACCACAGTACTTATTCAAGAGCTGATGATCAATTCGCAACATAAAAGTGGCTAACACGACATTTGTAACACAGGTACATGTAAACAAGCTTGGAGTCCAGAAGCGTCTTTATATGCTGAAATCCGATGTTCCCTGAATCTACAAACTATCCACTGAACCTGAAAAGTACTTAGATGATATCAGCAACAGATGAAAACACACCCTACAAAAACGGTGTTTGCAGCTACCAGGTTTCACAGACATGTGTGCACTTAGCGTTTGATAGGTAAGCTGCATTACGATGGTATTACGAGTAGTCTATATTTGCACATGTCCCTTTGGTGCTGGATACATAACTAGGAGTTTTATTCATCGCAGCCCCACTAACACACATACACACGTATCACTTACTCGCACGGTAGATCTCCTTTCTGTCTTGCAAAAGCAGCACACTAAACCTTGCAAACATCCAAAGTGATTGAATACATAACGAGTAGCTGAAGTTTTATCAAAGAGTAAGCGATGTCATTTGCATACTCAAGGTCGAACAGTCATTCTTCAGACAGCAGGTCTAGATCACGACCATGTACATTTTTAGATCTACCTCTAGATTACCTTTGGTGATAAAGATGGAAAAGATTATCGAGGTTAGACAACGAAGTCCAAACCTATCGCTGATTTAGAACAGTGAAGATATGTCCCATCGCCTTGAATATTTCACTGCTCCCGCCCCACCTAATTCAGACTGGGTGATCAGGCGCTAAAATGAGCCACTACACAAAGTGTGGATTATAGCCTGGTAAATGAAAAATATGTTTTGGATAACTGAGTTCTAACTTCAGCGAACAATATCGCGGAAGGTTGCCGTCAGATGGAGGAAAACAGGATCCAGTAACAAGGAACGCAATGATTATCGGTCCTTGATACACATGATTGTGTCCAAAATCGAATTCCACCTATTATACTAGATTTTTACAGACCTATAATACATAAAGATATTTTATATAAAAACAAAGTGACATGAATCTTGAACAGACAACAAAGAACAACTTAGAACATCACACAAGGCCACATCTTGACGTAATGATTAACCGTATCTAACATGTTTTCATTTGGAACAATCAGCAACTCCCATCAGACAGACAAAAGAGTTAGAAGTGATTTTAACTAACTTGTGAAAGTGCTTCAGGGATTAAATCTTGTTCCTTAAGAATTGTTTGCATTGAATCCATACTCTCAGGATAGTCTCGTGAACCGCAAAGATATGTTGTGTAACGGCTTACGTCACGGCCCCTAATGGAAAAAATCATATTCGTCTCTTGTGGATAAATGAGTTATGAAGTATAATCACAAGAATAAGTACAATGAAATCCTTATGCAGAAACCCAGATGTATCCATCGGATGAACCTAGAGTTATGGCGCAAATATTAATACTTACGTCAATAATCATGTTTATTACGCTAACGAATAAGAAAATAAGCGAAATTTGACTAATATAAATATAAAACTTGGGCACTGTGGTAGAGTGTAACTCCATTATGGATAAGATTTTATTTTAATAAATCACACAGTGTTACACAGTAATATTAACTGATGACGTTTCGAGCACAAATTATTGCTCATAATCTTATCAAGTTACCCACAGAACGTTTTCCTTCATTTATATATATGAAGGAAAAAGTTGTGTGAGTAACTTGATAAGATTATGAGCAATAATTTGTGCTCGAAATGTCATCAGTTAATATTACTGTGTAACACTGTGTGATTTATCAAAATAAAATATTATCTATAATGAAATATGACTAAACCTGACCATAATGTATCTATCAGATAGGTAACTTAAAACCAGTTTCGTAAAGATATACCTCTGAGGATGCATGGTGTATATAATACAGAAGAAAAAAACCCTGAAGCATACAGTGCATTCCATCGATAACAACTAAAGCCACGAACTGCGAGTTGTAATACACGTACAGTGAGAAATGATTATACACTAAGGTATTTTCAAACTCTAGTGTTCGGTCAAGCCACTCAACATTTGAAGGCTGGGAATCATGTTTCACAGTAGAAAACCCTGGCAATGTCTCAGGGTCAGCTACCAACATTCATGAATAATTTCCAAAGGATCAGTGCTTAACATTCGATTCAACTTCGGTATTATAAACTGTAATAGTATACATAACTGACTTACTTACTTTGAACTGTTGAGCACGACGAGTACGATGACCTTCAAAACGTATGACTAACCTACGATAAAATGAAGTGTGAGTCCATAGAAAATCCAGGAGACAACTCCTCGTCCTGTCAGCAGCCGGTTTGATGTGTTCGAATTCAGGCTTTAATGGTACAGGCAGGAATCCACGTAGCACAAGGGGGATAGGTGTGTTCGAAGTCGATGCTGACCTCTACACACAGTTGCAGAAAACTGCCACTTTCTGACCACCCAACAACTAGCCTTCCCACTTACCACCTAAACAACTCTTTCTCGAACTTTAAAGTTCAACCTGTGCACTACAACATTTGTGAAGTACCCTTCCAATTGGCCATTAAAAATACCCTAAGTTGCATCTGAGTTGCAATCTATCAGTTCATAGGTACACATGACGGAAAGATAACGTTTCTCTCATTACAGTCTTTTTATTTTAACTGAACCTTCTAGCTTAATATGGGACATAGAAGATTGATGGGTATCTAGTTGAACAGCAGCTTCGGTTCTCCGACATTCTGTAGCACAGACCTTAGACCGGATACCAATATTACAGAGACAATGAGTACGTGCATACTGAAAACAATTTAGAAGTTATTCAGAGCACTTCAGTGGGTATTCCAGTCTCTAAAATAAGCTGCATTTCTGTGACTGCTGCTCCCCAAAACAAGTTCCTACACCGTTTGCTTAAATAAGATCCTGAAGCCCGCGTGCATCAGTGCTTTTGAATTATGGTTTCCAGCCACCCAGGTTGACCGTTAATTCGGTGGTGAGCGCCGAACATTTCTGTATGCCCTTTTACTTTTGTGGAAACTTCCGCCCTGCGTGGATCCAGTGAATGGAACGTACCTAACAAAGGATATGTGTGATCATACGAAAATACTGAAACTGATTCGTCGAATGAGACGATTAGATTAGATTAAAAGAGCTGAATACAATGAAATACACTTGAAGTACTCAGAAAACATATGCATTTAACCGTTGTATATTACAGTGTTGTAGAACAGGTCCCACCCTTCGATGCTATTTAAAGAATATATATATATATATGTAGTTTACAAAAGAAACCTGTCACTGATGCTTAATTCTCTCCCTACTTAAATAATAAAAAGTGCACATAAAACTAAAATGTAGACTCAAAAGTATTAAGAGACGTTTTACAACCTTCGACAAGCTTCAGCTTCCAGAAGCCAAATGAGATGGTGAGCACAATGACCCTTCATCCGACGTGCTAAACACTGAAGGATAGACTGGAGAAGCAAGTATCCATGTTCACTATGACAACCCATTTCCTAAAAATAGAATAAAAGTCTGATTGAGATAGAACAAGTTATAGAAATTCTTTCTAGCTTATCTGAAAGCCTTACCGTCAGAAAAATAGTACGAAGTTTATAATCATGTGAGCCAAACGCTCACGAATGTTGGTAATTAGGATGATTGGTACAAAATGGTATTCGACCGAATGACAAATACTATTTACTTAATCCTATTTTACCAAATATCATATCACTAAAATTTTCAGTGCTTATTTCACCTGTTCATATATTTAGTAGATCAGGTAACTTATGATCCTATTAATACCTCTGACACAAAGCAGTGCGAATCTGGTGTTTCATAGTTTCAACATAGTGATGAAGCTTATCAAAGCGTTCGAAGTAAGAATAGGTTGACTGGAAACATCAATTTGATTCTCTTTAATGATGACAAATATCACAGTAGAAAATCTGTTGAAGCTTTTTGAAGACTAACAATTTCGGTACAGACTAAGTGAAAAATTTAATCATCTAATGCTAATCTATAGGACAAGTTGAATAAGTGCGAAAATATAAAAGTCTACTGTCCATGACCATCTTATGATACCTTAAAGCAATATACTACAATAAGTGACATGATGTCGACACAACCCAATAAAGAAAGAATTGTGATATATTAACAAACTTTCAAGAACACACAGATAAAAGTCTCGTAGTTTCCCGTAACAACAAATGTCTGCAAATGGAAAAAGAAATTTCTCGACGGAAGTGTCCTAGCTAATTGTCTCGTGAACTCACAAATCACTGCTCAACCAAAACCAACAATTGTTAGAACAAGTTTTCATTAAGTATGTCAGAAATCGATAAAGCAAAAAAAAATGAAAGAAAAATATTTCAACATACCAAAAAGTGAGGCAACATATCTAGTGCGGTATCACTTGGAAAATGATTCTCTCCCTCTGAAGAGCTATATGACTGTCGTTTGTCGTCAACAGAAGAAACGAAACCTTTGATTTCATCAATAGGTGGGAGTGAGTCTGAATTCATTGAATCCATTTCCGAATGTGAAACAGAATAATTGATGGAACCATTACATCGTTTCGGTTGTAGAAACGCTACAGAATACATAAAGGTTTGATCTTTAACTGTATCACCGGCAGCTAGCAATGGTTGCAAAACGTATATAACGCATTTTAGAAATATCCCGAGAGTATTCCATGCAAGGGGAACAGATATAAGTTCACCTATCAGACTTTCTTTTACAGCAATACACGGCATAGATAGCGATAAAAATGGACAGTCTTCGTTACGTGGATGCTGAGCTAAGTCATAAATGGTTCGACGCCAAGTTGGAGATTCAACCATCTGACTGAGCCACTCCATAGTGTCCTGATCACCAAAAAATAAATTTATCAGAAAGTGAACTAACAGCTGAGGCTTCATCTGTTAAACATGTTATAGCCTTTGAACGATCATAATTTTGGAGTATAGCTTCCTTGACAACTGATTCAATTATATTGCGAGTAGATTGAGCATCTTCATCTAAATCAACAAGTGGTAAGGCTTATATGTGATCCTACCTATATAGGTAAGCCAAGTTCCCAATTCGAACAAAAACTCAATTGCCCCTTGATAGCTTTCCACCAATAATTCCTCTGCCTCGTTTTGTCCAGTCTGTATGTCATTATATCGGACACTAAAATCCATCAATGTTCACAAAATTTAACAACTACCAATCAATGGCTTCCGCTAGCATAGAGGGATGCTCAAGAATAGCATCCTTTTTCATTAGGACAGCTTTGGCATTTTCCATAACTGTGACGGAACTATTATATTATGAAAGAAAAAAGAAATTATATGAAAACCAAGCGTAAAAGTTAAAACTCACTATCAGTGCCATAAGTCATTCTAGTCTTTAAACGACTTGATAAAGATAACAATGAGAACTTTTACCTTTACTGACCTCTGAATACCGTATAAGGAGAAGAGAACAACACCTTTAGCTAGTGGATGTCAAACAATACACAAATACAGAAAATACAACCGTGTGCATTTTTGTTGAACACATATGCATGAGGATTGAAGAGGTTATTCGGGTAAGTGAAGCTGCACTTAATCAATTAACTACCACTCAATTTTACGTATGAAGGTTTAGGATATTACTCTGCTGTGCTAGTCGAAGTATGTGGTAGTGAGTTGCAGTCAGCGGTCCACTGACTGAAAGACGGTTTAAGCTATGTCAAAAGTGTATTTATACCACAAAAGATCTTTAGTGAAAGGCATTATGATACCTAGAGTAAAATGTTACTCCCAGAATAATACACATGACAGTGAATAGCAGTAGAACAAATACATATCGCTGATACATTGTTTGAATTAACCATCTGGCTCTCTAGCGCATCGTAAGCTGACAGGTTTAAAAAGGGACCAACTGCATAATCTTTAGTGACGTAAAATACTTGACAGGCATTTCCTTCTCCTAGTTGCACAAACACAATCATGTCTGTTTAATGATTATATTCCACAAAGAAATGTCTATAAGAGAAATTATCTTAATCGTAAAATACACTGTCTGACTATTAAGCCAGTGTATAACACTGCCCAAAAGTGTATGAGTTTGAGTTATCATACGGCAGAAAATAAGAAAATACGAGAAGAGAAGCAGTAGAATGATACTGCGACAGTTGACTGACGGGACGAGCTACGCAGTTTACCGAAGATAAGAAACCTGTACATGACAATCAAGGGGCGAGCACAAAGAAATCAAATTGGTTTATACTAGCTCGTAAAAACGATATTGGATTGAGAAAGACAGGCGTGGAACTGATATACAGGATCCCTTTCTCTGAAGTGTGATAAAAACACCTCTCAGTCTTGGATTTTCCTTAGCCTAAACCTCAACTCAATTTTCCTCAAACATAATGCAAAAATGACCAGATATTCCGTTTCATATCATATTACATCTTATTCGTGATTGTTATGTTATTTGACTGGTTTTACTAACCTGCTTAATGTGCGCTCCAAGGGCAGGGGCGAATTGGTACTTTTTGGTGCTTAAAGTATAACTTCACCGTATCTATAAAAGCAGGTGTTCAATGGAAAGAAAACCTAAAGATTACTCAAATGCTACTATTCACCGACGGAATAACGTACTTTGATTAGGATTTGTTTACCATAATCGTTAGCTATCAACTTAATAACTGTGAAATTCAGACTTAAAATAAGTTTTATAGTAGTATCCAGTGACAGAAATTAACCTCAACACCTTAAAATATGCAAAAAGTGGCAAGTGTAAACAATAGACACCAAAGTCAAATGACTTTGATTTGACCAATCAGATAGCTCAGCATTACAAATGGATACTAGTCATAATGCTAGTTGCGAATGTCACATAGGTCTGGATTTTGACTTTTCTGTGGAAAACAGGTTGATGGAGAAGACTAAAACATGCATATATGGAGGGATAATAACTCTGAAAAAGTACTGACGGGCTACTGACGGTTATGTACGTGTGAATACGTATTCATCAACCAACCAATGTGAGGTGGTCTGTAAGAGTTAGCTAGTCATACATGATGGTGATTTTTTAGACAATTTCTTCTCCAAATCGACAATCCCCTCAGTAATATATTGTGTATATGCGACCAGTATCTGCTATAGCTACAGAAATAGGGAATACTTTGACTTCATATGTCTATAACCACTTCTATGACAAACTGGTGTCAGTTTTTGCAGCATATTAGAGATATATACCTTGTATAATTCATTCCTATTACTTATATACCACAGGTACACTTTTTCATAAATTAAGTATCACTTTCCACCTAGAAGAATCTGATTAGCTGCTTCGAGGTAGTCCGAAGTTTGTGTTCATTCTTTACTGTTGCCCCAAAAGTCCAGAAAAATCCTGTAAATTTCAATGGCAGAGGTCTATACTATATATATATATATATATATATATGACTCTAAACTATAGTAGCCCAAAACGAAACTACACAATGAGCAGAAATCGCTTAAACCTGACTATGAGGACTACTGTGATAACATGGGTGAGTTCTCTGGAACTAAAAGAAGACTACTATGCTATGTTACCACTTTTTAACATTACTTGCGAAAAACGTTTATTTCTTATTACGCACATCTACTTCTTACGCATGTAACTGCTCGCTGGAGGTAGTTTCGTTTCGGGCTGCTGTCGTCTAGAGTCATCGGGAAAAAATCTCAAGAAAACACATAACCAATTAACGCAGGAACCCATCATGACATTGAACTGGAAATTTAATTCAGCATTATGGTAAGCTTGGGAGGAGCAGAACCTGCCCAAGCTTACAATAATGCTGAATTAAATCTCAGTAATTCTGAAATAATTCTTGCATCCTATAGTGAGTAAATTCTGAATCTGTTCTGAAATGGTTTGTTTAATGGCACAGACTAGAACTCAGTGCTGGTTTTCAGCATGACTAGAACGAATTCAGCACCGTGTTCTTTTTCTAGGCATTTTCAGGAGTAGATCAGAACATACTGGGTTTCCTTATCAGCGTTGTTCCAGCCATTACAGGACATATTAAGCTCTGACTAGCATTACTTCAGAACGAAAAGACCTAATTCAGCACATAGTGGCAATTTTTTCAGCTTAATTCTAGCCTTCTCAGCACATATTCAGAACTGACTAGCATTACTTCAGAACGAAAAGACCTAATTCAGCACATAGTGGCAATTTTTTCAGCTTAATTCTAGCCTTCTCAGCACATATTCAGAACTGACTAGCATTACTTCAGAACGAAAAGACCTAATTCAGCACATAGTGGCAATTTTTTCAGCTTAATTCTAGCCTTCTCAGCACATATTCAGAACTGACTAGCATTACTTCAGAACGAAAAGACCTAATTCAGCACATAGTGGCAATTTTTCAGCTTAATTCTAGCCTTCTCAGCACATATTTAGGCATGCAGTGCTTATTTTCAGCATTGAAGGCATTATTTCAGATGCTGATCGTTTTTTTTAGGATTTTGTCGCATTAATTCAGCACCCAGCTCTCTTTTTAAGCACGACCAGCGTTATTTAAGAACATAGTGGGTAGAAAAAATTTTCATTTACCATAGAAAGGCATTATCGACGCATAGGTTAGAATAAGTTCAGAATTGTTGTAAGCTTGGGTGGACTAGAAGGGCTGCAATAAGGCTGATAAGCTCCTTCTGAAAGTGCGTAGAAGAAGAGCAAGATGCTGAATTGGTGCTAGTCATGCTGATAAACCAGCGCACAGTTCCAGTTTAAGCAAATAACTGTTCTGCCACTGTTTGATCCGACAATGGCAGAACAGTTAAGGAGTTTACTCACTGAGGAATGTTACTATATTAACATGGTATACATGAATTGGCTCATTGATTGCAGATTTACAATAATCCTTAACTACCAACATAAAAACTGGGAACTGCAGGCTAAAAATAAACTTCATAGTACCACCCAGTAACAAAAAACTGACCTACATACACGTCCAAAAAAGCCTTTAAATTTCAATGGAAAACGAATTCACGAAAATATATAACCAACAGACGCAGCAACTCATTATGACCTTGAAAATGACTGTAGCGTTTTCCATATACTGTCCCGCCTGCATGACACTCACCATTCAAAAAAAGAGCGCTCATCCTAATGTTCAATAATTTTGTAGTGGATCTGTGTAGGCATACTGATTTCTTCGTGAGCCGTTTGTGGTACAATTCAAATTCTTCGATGGACTCTATTATAGTAGATATATCTCTTTACCTTCTATAGCCTTGTGGAAAACGGTGAGCAAACTAATGTAATTTGAGTAAATTGGTAGCGTAGCTATTGGGAACTAGGAACTTTTGTTTCAGCAAAGCAGAAAAAGGAAAAAGGAGAGATACACGAATATGTGGAAAGATGTGAATATAGATAAGGTGTCCAATGGAAGAAAACCTGCTGACTACTCAAATAAAACTATCCGTATATCTCTGGAAATTTCTTGCATTGTTCCGGAGACTAAATGTCATCCACATGAACTCATATTATCCAAATATGATTGTGATGGATGTTTCAGTTATATCTCCCTCAACCATCGAGGAATTGCGATAGACGCGAATTAAGTCAATTTTAGTAAATATTATGGCTCTTGGAACTCTATGTGTATGTGAACTGCGTGCCCACTCAGGATGGTTTGCTTATTTAGGGCTCTGTAGCCACTAAAAGGGTGCCAATCTGTCTGATATTTTCTAAGCACCATGTGTAACGTCGAAGCCCACTGATTACTCGAAGGCGGAATAATCCCCAACTGAAGCATGTAATCGAATTCAGCTTTCGCTAATTTTCCTTGTCTAGGGCCAGTCTTTGTTCTGACGAATACTGGATGGACATTTTCCTTATAGTATGAACAATTTTTGGTTCAATCTGAGGGGTCTAGGGGTTTGTAGCCGTCAGCGCTGGGAATTCCGTTGTCGTTTTCTGAGACTCTTCTGATGAAATCGGACTAGATTCAGCAAATTGTGCTCGTTGCTTTCGCGATTAGTATACCAGGAGACGTCACTTTCGAGTGTCCATCAGTGAGTTATATATTTCTAGGATGTTTATATTCGCAACAGAAAACACCCATAGCAAATGTCGCTTAAACCCGAACGAACATCGCGACCTCGGTTTCATTGGAGCACTGTAACGTGACAGGAGACTTTTATCGTCTCGATTCGGCCTTTGATATTGATGTTACACTGAGTGCAGCTCCTCGATCAACCAAAAATCGATACCAGAGCTTTTATGCTTTACGTAAAATAGGTGACTGTTTGGACACCTATGCTCAGCAGTCACTGACAGAGGCATTAATCATTCCTTGTCGTTTGTAAGGTAGTTTAGGCTAGGCGCATGGCTGCTGACTGTGCGCCAAACCTGCAGTGACACCAACAGAATTAGCCTGTTGACCTAGTTTGTTTGGACCTACTCTTTGACTGACGACCTGCTCTATTAGGTGGTCTACCTCATCTGCCATTTGTAAGTAGCGTTTTTGCCAGTTGTTCCGTTAACCATATAAAGTTGGCCACTAGTTCCGGGACCATCGAGTCTTTGCTCGTACCTAGCCTTCTGCAAGTCGTTTAATCCAAAACATCTGATTAGTGATGCCTGCTAACTGTTCAAGAAGAGATTAAGAATCTTGCGCTGCCCCGGGAGGGATTGCATCGAACCCTAATTCAGCACAACCTCTTCCAACGTACTGTCCCATTAGGCCACTGCCCGCGTCGCAAGCGCTGCATGGGAATATATCTCTCATGTTCTTCCTTTAAATCAACTTTCGTGCAATCTGATTTTCCGACACGGAGATGTATTTTATCTTCTCTCACGCAATCACTGTGTGTGGCTACTCATTTGGTAGTTAGGTTTATGGTTCCCACACCTCTTTGCCAGTTTGATAAGGTAACCGAGAACAAACGTTCATATGGCCGGTGGTTTCGGATTTAATGCAATACCGGTCAAGGTAGGGCTCTAATTCAGCACACAATAGCTCAAGATATTGTTGATTACATTCAGGTAACTTACCTTTGATAGTAACCAAAGAATACATCTACATGGAAGTAGCGTTTATGAAGTCATTTTCTATGTCTCGCAAATGAGACATTTTAATGAACAAAAATTTAGAAGATAATGTGTACCAGAGTATAAATAAGCTAACAAATCCGAAAAGCAAACAGAACAGATATTTAGACTAAAGTCAGTTAAACGGTATAGAAGGCAAAATGTGATCAAAAAGCAGGTCTACAAATTTAGAAACAGACTTTTCTATCAAAACGACTACGCAAATTAACGAGCGACGACCTCTAATGTTGTAATAGAACGATGGCGTTTATGAACCGAAAGCAAGGCATAGGGTAAGAGAAGGAAGGAATACTTATCCGAACAAACGGAAGAGAATTCGTCGTTCAATAGATGAACATAGCCTTACAAATCATGAAAGGATATAGTTTCTACTTGGTTGCTTGTTGTATTTTTCCGAGTTTCACTTACAAAATGAGCAGTCATATTATACCATATTTTAGAGGCCCTACAGATCCACCCATATAGGCACGGGTTTTGCAGTCAGTCTTTCTTTACGTGAACCAGAACTCTTTTGTACAATGAAAGCCAATCATATGTCCCATCTCTATCGCGTGTTAAACAAAGATACAGGATTAACAGACTGTTATTGGAGTGCTTTACCCGTGTCGTCAAGAGTGGGAATATTCAGGTGTTACTGCCAAATCTCAAACAAATTGTCAAACTATCTAAAATGGAATCATTTTTTGAAGGAGAAGATCTGAGATGAATGAACCATTATGTTCCCACTCAAGCAGACATTTAGGTCTGTAAAAGAACTTCTCTTGAATACGTTTGGTCGCCAACATAGGTGTTGCAACACTGCTCCGTCAGTGTGATGATCTCAGCTCCTTCTTCGTTTCACGTGCTTTGCGGTATTGTAATAACATCGGGCCTACTGCCACAGCCTGAGTCAGGAAGCCTGAGCAACAAAGAGCGAATAGAAGAAGATGTACGCGTAGGTAGTTCCCAATGTTGATGCTGTACAGTTACATTTAGGTGTATTTACATTTTGAACGATGTAAAACCATCCGGCCTCATGCCATGATTTCGTATTAAACTAACTTTTTCCATGATTCTGCAGCGTGCAAAAAAATCCTGAATAACTCTGGTGTCCCACTTTGTCTAGCGGATGAAAGCCTAGTTATTTCACAGGTCACTGGGAAACAAAATGGATGTATTACATCCAGGTTGAAAGAAGAAAACACATTCAGAACTCAGAGATCAGCTGAAAACAGACAAAATAACCGATAATTTTATACATGCTCTAAATTTTGAAAATGACAATTAGTATATGCGTAATGCCTAAAAGTGATGGCGCCATCCACATAGATGGAGCGCAGTGGCATCACGATAGTGGGCATTTGCAGATTGGACTACTGTGTCTCCGATCGCAAAGTACTCCACGACTATCGGTAATAAAGTATGATTATCCAGAAACCTTCCTTGATTTGTTCAGTTTGCAGCATAAAACTGAACCGACAGAAGTGACTGCCACTATTTCTCCTGAAGATATTCACGAGTCTTGACATAACAGCAAATCGAATTGGAGTCACTGTCTGAAACATACGTTGTTGAATGAAATAAACTGCTTAAGGCAATCCAAACTTTAGCTGCTGAGCCAGTTACGATGGAAGTGGTAGACGACGTCCATAAGTGTGGCCTAACTGATTTTTCAGAGTCTCTTGTTTGCAAAGTAACCACCGTTCTTCAGCCTTACAGGTTCGAGGAAACTTATACAGTAATTCGGAACGTTTGCGCACGTCTTCTGAAGAAGCAGTGTAGTTATTATAGAAATCCAGGGGCAGAACAGTTACCCTTTTTAACTTTCATTCTTTATTTTTTCATTTATCATGTCTTCGTTTCATTCCCTTTCTACAAAACTTTCGTCACTGTCATCTTGCATGTCTAGATTACAAGTGCTTTAATCTCTAGTGTCGTAGTAATCACTTTATTCCAAAAATTCCAAAATATCCAAAAGGCATGTTTCAGCCTATCTGTTTCTAATAGTTATTTTCTGTACTTCGCTTCTATTGCCTTCATATCTTACTTTCTATGTTTTGAATCGATCCGAGCGTTTCGCTAGAAGGGAAGTTGCACGTAATGGTATTGACATAGTACTGCAGTACATGATTCATAACAAAAAAAGTAAATCACTATTCTAGTGGCGAGTGGATTGAGCACAAGTGATCGGTCTTCTGTAATGGATGTAATACCGTCGTCTAACATCGATGAATTATTGATGAAAAAGTAATGAACTTAATAAATCTCACCAAACAGATATTAAGCATGGATTATTGGGTAATCTGATCAGACGTCGAATATTGTTCTGCCATCGGTCGATACCTCACAATCAAGAGGTGAGCACAAAGAAATTCAATTGGCTTATACTAGCTCGTAAAAACGATATTGGATATTGGATACTGGATGATCCACACTAATTATTATGTTTTATGTACAGTAATCACTAAAAAGTACTTTTCAGTTTACGAAGGTCTTCGGAGACAAAGTAAATATGATTAAATGCAACATGACAGTTAAATAACTAATTTTTTGTTTTAGCCAATGGTGACATTTGTTGTTATTGACAACTGTCACAGAGGGTTTTTGTATTGTTCCATACCTTTGTTAAGATGTTCAAGAATACTTTCCAGAGTGGATTTTTATCTATACTCTATAGCGTTGGCAGCAAACCACTGCAAATATGGGATAAGAGTGTAATCAAGTTTTAAAAATTTCACCTTTGAGATAACAGGTCATGAATGGACATATAAAAAGAATAACCGACAACGACATTCAATCACTCGTTCTTGAGTTAATGGGTACAAACGTAAGGTAACCAGCTTTTTTATGAAGGCAATGCATATAGTACAACATATGTAACCTGTCCTGCCGAACCGAAGAAAAGCTTGGGTATAAAGTTGCCTTTCCTTGTGATGATAATCAAAAACTTGAAAAAGTACTTTACGTTCGAGGTTTTGGTTTGTCGCCATACTACCTTTTGTACGAAATTCGTTTAAGATTTTAGATGACAAGAAAATTCGGAGAAGATTTAGAGCTAGCAACTATCAGAGCACCACCCGTGTAAAACCTTTTATTTGTACAATGCCTATGAGGCTGGATGAGGGGTGGAACCAGATTCAGTTTAATCTATGTGACTTTACAAGGCGGGCTTATGGAACAAATTATGTTGAGACGCTCAGAGTTCAAGTAGGTGTTTTTAATGATAATATATCTCTTCGACACGTGAAACAATATGCTGATTAAGTCATTGGTAAATAATTCATACAGTTTTACGTATATCAAGTCTCTGCCTAAAAATGCTAGCAGCGTTTTTGTTGTTACATAAAAATGACAGAAAGCCGCAATATTTCTAACCATAATGAGAAAGAAAAATCATTAGTTACAATTTGACCCACGTTGTAATGAAAAAATGTGTCTAAGAAATCCAAACTTCGAAAATGTTTTGAGTTTGATACTGAAGATCTGGAAAAAAGCACAAAAAGCTGGCAGAATATATAGAGAAGTTAGGACTTTAGTTAAAGACAGAAGGGATGAAGACATAAACAAACACGATGAGCATCAGTCACCATCATTGGGAGAAATCTAAGGGAGTTTAACTCTTTCAAGATTGCTGCAAACACGAGTTTCACAAATGAATATCTAAAATTCAGGATCTCGAAAGAGAGACAGGCATTTACAGCAATAAGAATAAGAAGCAGGCCATGAATTTTAAGCACTGATTTTTATCAACGACCTGCCCTGTCAACTGAACTGCTCTGCGCTTCTTTACGCTGACGACGTAAAGATTTGGAGAGCAATAAACTCATCAGAAGACTCAGACAGATTGTAGGCTGGCCTGCAAACTCTGGGAGACTGAGCTCTGGCTAACGGAATGCCGTTCAGCCTCAAGAAGTGCAGGTCACAGTGTAAATTACACCCTTGGTGGCTAGAATTTGAGTTGTGTGCCATCAGATCGCGACCTAGGTCTTATTCTAACAGAAAAGCTAGACACCAGTGTAAATTACACGAGGGACGTCGTCAAAACTTACGCAACATTACACTTTATGCATAGGCAGCTGGGAGCTCTTACTCCCGAACTATTCTTAAGGTTGTATACGACATACGTGAGGCCACTCCTTGAGGTGCATAATACCATTGCTCCTCCGCTACTTAAAAGGGATGCTAACATTCTAGAAATTGTCCAGAGACAAGCGACAAGATTGGTGATCGGCCTCTGCAACAAATTATATGAGGAAAGACTGAAGAAATTAAGTCTTTTCACACTTAGTTACCGCAGTCACAAGGGAGACCTCATCACCGTCTACAAGATCTTAAATGACCAGGCCCACCCTAATAAAAGCATCCTGCCATTAAGTGATTATAGGCTTCCACGAGGTAACCCGCTAAGGATAGCATATCAGAGACCAAAGACTCGAGTGCGTTCACATTTCTTTTCGCTTCGAGTTTGCCGTCTCTGGAACGCTTTACCGGCGGCCGTGACTACAGCCCCATCTGTGGAGAATTTTAAGCGGAATCTGGACAATCATGCAGAAATGCAAGGCTTGTGTCTCAATGGCTTATCCTCTTAAAATTTGAAACCACATTGTCAATGGATAAGCATACAGGCTAAATCCCCACAACCCATTCTGTCTTCTCTCACTGTACCGACTACTCTGTCTTTTCCTTAGGTCACCTTTATTATTTCACTTATCTCAACCTATATTATCTACACTACAACCTATTATTACTATTATTCTGTTTTTATGACTACACCGAATGACCAACGGGTGTTAGGTCAAACTTCATTCACGGCAGCAGCTGAGTCCTAACATACTGCACACTACAAATCACATTTTGACCAATCCCCGCACCACTCCTCTTGGAGTCTACCAGAGCTAAAGCAGTCGAGTGGCGGGACTTACTACGCATAAGTTCACCGAAGATCTGGAACCTCTACCTCACAATCAAGAAGCGAGCTCAAAGAAATCACTGGTTTATACTAGCTCGTAATCAGGATATTGGATATTGGATGTCAGATCAGTGCTCCTCTATAGCTCACATATATGGCCAGTGACTGAAAACATTTTCAGAAAGTTGCGGACTTTTAATAGTGGCTGCCTTTCGATGTTGGAACCAGATGAACAAAAGGGATAAGTATCAAAGGACTCTGGAAACGAACTAGATAATACACATAAGGAAACGGAGGTGAATTGGACGCACTCTGGGGAAACAAGTGAGTGACATCAGCAGCGACACCTATGAATAGAACTTGGAAAGGAAACGACGAGTTGAGCATTCGAGGGTGATGTGGAGATTACGTCAGGAAGGGATGAGAGCTTACGGGCAACCACGGAGACAGCTAAGGAGGACTTCAGAGGATGTGGTGTTAAATTCTTGCGTTCCACTCGGAATCGTAAAGAATAATAAATAAGAAGAATCTTGTGCAGTAGTATTCTGCGAGTATTGTCATTGTACAAGGGAACAAACAGTGAAGTCTTATCGTTTTGAAGGTATAAATATGATATCACGCCACCTTATCATGAGGTAGAATAAGTAAGTCTTTATTTCCCATAAGGCATTAAAACGCTAGCTTGTCATTTCAGTTCACATTCAAATAGACTCATCTTAACGCGCTTGTTTTATCTTGAAATTAATGTGGGCTATTGGAGCTTCATATCTTAAACGAAGTCCCGTAGGTATTAGGTGCAACATATGCTTACAGCTTATATCAGTATATAGATTACGTTCATAAGATGCAAAAGGTTTATCAGCTGGAATCATGTGTCGTAGTTTTTGAGGTTAAATGTCTTCATTGTGAACCATCACTCCAAATCGCTATTATTATAACACGGATATCATCAGAATATATCTGCTGTTTCAGTATACACCATCTCAATAAATTCAAACGACCGTCCGAGGATGGTTCATAAATAAATATGTGATTTACACAGTAATTTTTTCTTTTGACATTGCCCCAACCCTTTTGTAGTAAAAGGTTATAAAACGTCTACACTTTTTATTGCCCCAGTGAGTTCAAACAAAATAGCTCAGTACTTAATCATCTGGTTGACAGTTTGCTGGTCGTTAGCTAGAAACCTTCTAAATATCCATGACTGTATTTTAGTTTAGTCAGGCATTGGAAGCTTTTAAGGTTTTATTCCCCATATCTTTATAATTAAATACAATAATGTATGAACTAGACTTCCGGTTGATGAATCTAGCAGCAATCTTTTATCCAGAGGTATTTGTATCAGTATGAAAAATCAAAAAATAGATAAAAATAATTGTGTGAATTCAGAAAGATCGCTAGGTTTTTCACAGAAAAAGATATTTCATTAAGCCTAGTTTGAATACAGTTTCATGGTTGTTTTAAACCTATCTGAAGACTTTTATTTGTAGTTAATCTTGTTCCTGGTTTATCCAAGGGATCGGAAAGTTTACTGCACTGTAGGGAAATCTCGTGGAAAACTGTAAACATAAAGTGTTAATTGTGTTACTGCATGATAAATGTAGGAATTACTTTGTTTCTTCAGCTGTATTTCCAAACGTAGCGTGAAGAAAGAATCATTGGAAGTCTGTTTTCAAATCTTATAAGGTTAAGTGCCTTGCATGTAGTCTGTAGTTCATTGGGAGTTAAACAAATAAAAGAGTAACTCTCCTAATCTCGAATGGCAAGATTATTTACTGAAAGGGTATGTAGTGACCGAATACTACCCGAAACTCGAATAAGGTGAATCAACCATACTTTCGTCATTTTAAAAGCTGATAAAATAAAAAGTATATTCTGGTTCATAAATTAGATAGTCGACAGGATTCAGATTACAAAAGAAAAATAAAATCATGAAAATCCCACCTCATGTGAGATGATTATTCGACATAAGGATGGAGCCTTTTAGAATAAAGAATACATGGAAAGTGTTCAAACGTAACACACTTTACAGTGCCACATAAAAATCGTCATTATGCACAAGAAATTTTGTATGTAAGCTCTCTTTCCGAAGATAAGAATCACCACATGACACTGATGGACAGAAAGATTGATTGAAAAATGAACTTAGGAATGTTCATAGAAGTACATCAGTCCAAGCTTTCATACTTCATAAAACATGATTTAAGGTAACAGAAATAAAATGATTTTATAATGGACAAACAAACGTCTAACGGTAAAATGACTAGATGGAGATCAATGACATATTAATATATGTGTAAAACTTGGGCACTGTGGTAGTAAGTAATTCCATATTAGTTTGTTTATTAGGTATATCACACTGTTTCACTGTGTGATATACCTAATAAACAAACTAATATGGAGATCAATGACGTTTCTGGGGATCTGGATTTATGTTAAACTTGCTTGGGCTTGTTTAACGGTTTTAGATCTTATCAAATTACAACAAAGACTTCAAAAAGCTGAAGAAGACCATCATTACAAAGTGTCCAGAGCTTATGATTCTTCCCATAAATCCGTCAAAGGTGGTTTCTCAGCAATAAAGCTGCCACAAATGAACAAGAACATAAGCTTACTCCCACATCAAGAATCTTTCAGGGCACATCAGTCGATTAATGCATCCATTCAGCACTGAATTTGGGCATAAACCAATAAAGTCACTACAAAATCTATTGTGTATTACGAAATACTTGTCACCAAAGAGAAATAAGACGGATGTAGTCTAAAAAATCAAACCCATAGACTTTCTGTAATACTAGGCTGGTCATTTCATCTGTTATCTAGAAGAAACGATGCTTTATCTATGATCTCACAGCGTTTAGACAACTTCTGTCAACACTATGACTGGGAGTATATTATTAATTTGTTGTTGTATTATCTTGTTAGCAAACATTGGGGGCAACAGGAGTTTTATAAACTACAATTAGCAAGCACGTAAATATAGGCAGTCTGCAAAGAAAGAAGACTACTTTCTTTCAATCAACTGGAAACAAATGAAGTAGAGCAGTAAACAAGCATAAGAGATTTGTATCCCAACAAAGTACTGGTAGTTGAGTGACTAAATAAAATTTAGGGTCAGTATGCCAAGTGACGAAGTTTTCTTACCCCAGTTACATTTGGACAAGGTTTAAATGAAAGGAAGAATAGTGACTAAATATTTGTGCAGACTGTAAACAGGTACCCCTTCTTCATGAAGTTAGTTCTGAAGATGTAGTCAAACCTAGTGATGAAACGTTTGCAGTGAAATATCAAAGCTGGA